TTTGACTTCCTCCTCTGCTGACAGTGACCCTGAACGTCTTTAGTCAGTGTTGCTCGAGGAGACCCGACGGGCTAGCGGGGGTGTGTGTGTGTGGATCGTGCTCGCTTTCGGTTTTACTCTGCCGCTGTGTCTGTGCGCTCAGCGCCCCCGGTCTTCCGAGCAGCCCCGGCATCGCGACCTGCCCTCTCCGCCCTGTCCCGGGAGAGCGCGCCTCTGCGGGTTTCCAGCCGGGGAGGTGGCCTGTCCCCCCTGCAGGCAGGCGGGGTCGGGGTGCGGGACTGTCGCCGCGGGGCGCGGCCGCCAGCTGGAGGAAATGCGGCTCCTCGCGCTCGGCGGCCCAGTCATGTGACCCCGGAGAGGGTGATCCTGGCGCACGTGCTGGGTGGGGGTGCGGGGTCAGAGACCGGCGGCAGCTGCAGACGTCAGGAGGCTGGGATCGGGATCGGGGTACCCCGGGACGGAGCCGCTCTCGGTCCGCGGCCGGCCCAGCTGACGGATGTGTCTCCTCTCCTGCAGAGACTGGAGCACGGGGCTCTGATCGACAGACTGTGAGGGTCCCCCTCACCCCTGGACTGGCAGTGTGGGGTACCAGGGGCTGCCCCTCAACCCAGCCCCGACAGTGTGGGGTACCAGTAGCTCACCCCTCTCCCCCCAGTCCCATCAGTGTGGGGTGCCATGTGAGTGGGGCTCTGTCCACCGTGTCCACCGTGTCCACCATGTCCACCATGTCCACTGTGTCCACCGTGTCCACTGTGTCCACCATGTCCACCGTGCCCACCGTGCCCGAGCCCTGCAGCCACGTGCTGGCCGAGCTGGACAGCCTGGACCCGCTGCTGTCCGCCCTGCGCCTGGACTCCAGCAGGCTGAAGGTAGCATCGCCGGCCCTGCGCCGCGGCCGCCGCCCTCGTCCTCGTGTCCGCCGTCCTCACGGCCCTCCTCTCCCTGCGCAGTGCACCAGCCTGGCGGCGTCCCGCAGGTGGCTGGCGCTGGGCACCTCGGCCGGCGCGCTGCACCTCCTCCAGCGAGAGGGCTGGAAGCAGAGGCTCATCCTCACGCACAAGGTGAGGCGCTGTCCCCCCCCCTGTCCCGCCCCCC